GCTCCAGTATCAACTAGAAATTCAACAGGTTGGCCCCCAACTTGTAATGTTACCTTGGGCTCCCGGGGGTCTAATCTGTAGGAGCCCCGACCCCCTCATTCAGTGTCTTCTAAGAGAATGAGGTCCTTAGGTTTCTATTGGGCCCCCCCTTTAGGGCAGTCCTTTTTCCAATGACCATATTCTTTGCAGTAGGCACATTGGTTAGGGTCAAGAAGTGGTCGAGATCGTTGCCTAGGTCTCCGTGGGTTCGGCCCTATGTTTTTAGGCCTATTTCCCCGTTGCCCTTTTTAATTCTCTTGAAGAGCGGCTATGATTAATCTTGTGACTTTTTTAGTATTTGCCGTTTCTGGGTCGTCCCGGTTGTTAAATACTCTCTGAACTATTTCACCTAACTCACTAAGATTCTTTCCTTCAAAACCCTCTAATTTCTGGAGTTTCTCCCTAATGTCTGGGGCCGACTGGGTGACAAAAGCAATATTAATTGCCCGTCTATTCTCAGGGGCCTCCGGGTCTATGGGAGTAAAGAGGCGATAAGCCTCCATGAGACGTTCAAGAAAGGCCGCTGGGGATTCCCCTGAGCTTTGAACAGTCTCGCTTACCTTAGACAGAGTAGTTGGCTTTTTGGCTGCTCCACGGAGGCCCTGAAGTAGAGATTGGCGATACTGGGTTAAAGCCTCCTTACTTTGATCAGTGTTCAGGTCCCAATTGGGTTAGGTAGTTGGGAGGTAGGCTCCTATCTGGGCCGGATCTGTGAGGGGTTGGCCGTCTGTCCCGAGGACAAATTCTGCTGCCTCTCTGTGGATCCTGTCCCTCTTCTTGGAGGTGAACAGGACCTGCAACAATTGCTGACAGTCATCCCAAGTGGGCTGATGGGTGTGGAAGACTGTCTCTAGGAGAGAGATTAAACCTTGGGGTTTATCAGAGAAGGAAGGGTTCTGTTGTTTCCAACTGAAAAGGGGACATAAACCATGAAGGGCCGAGTCTGGTCTCCACCCGGTGGTGGAGCAACCTGACAGAGGGGCAGGATGGCAGCCGAGGAGTCTGGCTCCTGTGGAGGAGGGTTATAAGGGGTGCAGCCACGTGTATGGGAAGGACTGAGCGGCTGAAGGGCTTCAGCCTCTCCAGGCACGGCAGTGGCAGGTGGCGGAGACCGATAAGGGGGTGGCCCCACAGGGCCAGTGAGGGGATCTTCTGGGGGACCTGAAAGAACAGGGTAAAGCCTTTGGGAGGGAGCAGGAGCCGAGGGCTTCTGAGGCTTCCATGGAAGCTGGGCAATTAAAATCTTCTCCCTGTTAGGGCACAAACATTTCTTAATATAATTAGGCTTGTCATTAGCTAGGTCAATCCAAACATCGATGTAAGGAGTTTGGTCTGGGTGTCCGGGAGTCCTGTAGATGACACCTCAAACTGCGAACAAAGAGCTTAAGTGAAAAGTGCCCTGGGAGAGCCAATTGACCCGGAAAGTGGGTCACTTCAATTCGCACAAAGTGCGTGAGAATCCAGGGTCGGCTGAGATGCTGTAACCTGAGGCGCGCTTGGAAAAGTCTGAGAAGTTATTAAGGAGACATTGAAGAGGGGTCCTAGGTCCTGAAGGTCCCTGACCCATTTTGAAGAACACAGGCTGGCACAGCACAGAAACATAAAACACAAAACACAGGACAAACAAATAAGGACAAATAAGACAGACAAAACACGAGACAAACCAAACCGGGGCCAAAAGCGACAGTCTCGCTATGGCCCTGGGGCAGGATCTCTGTGCTGCGTTCAGCAGATCCACTTCCCCTCATTCTGCAGAGTTTTCAGAAACAGACTTATCTGAGGGATGTCCCATCTGCCAAACCGAACCTGGGCCCAGGGTTTCCAGATCTCTCTAGATGGAATTTTGGAGTGGAGACAATTCCAGGGCAGAACAGCGTCTGGGGTGGAGGAACGTCTTCTCCGAGGCCTTCCCCTAGACCACCCGTCCGCTCCTGGGATGGACCTGTCTCCTGGAGTCTGAGGAGGTCAACCCACTGATGTGGGGGACCTCGTTTGTCTATCTCGCTGGGGCCTCCAAATGTTGTAGACCAATGAGACAGACCAGACTCAGACTCCGAACTGGGTTCAAATTAAGAGAGCTTTATTAGCCGCGCGGGGACTGTCCCATCCTACTTAGAGGAGAGAGCAGCCCCGAGCTCAGGGGGAGGGTTGCTTATATAGCTGTCTTAGCCCCTGTTAAGGAATTTGGATTAAGGGTATGCGAGCAAGGAAGCACGTATAGAAACAGATATTTGCAGTTAGCTGTTATGCCTGAGGGAACAATCAGTTTCTGTGTACACAAAGCAATGGTTATCTATACAATGCAGTGGTTATTTATTAGCAGATAGTTCTTGCCATTCCCTTAAAATCCAGGGGGCAAGGTCATGTGTTTGTCCTTTACAGCAGGATAGAGTAATCTTGGTTGTAGGTCATTGCTTTTCATCACCTTGAATATCTCTTGCCACTCCTTTCTGGCCTGCAAAGTTTCTTTTAATAAAGCAGCTGACAGTCTTATGGGAGCTCCTTTGTAGGTAACAAACTGCTTTTCTCTTGCTGCTTTTAAGATTCTTTCTTTGTCTTTAACCTTTGGCATTTTGATGATGATGTGTCTTGTTGTGGACTTCTTTGGGTTCATCTTGTTTAGGACTCTGTGCTTCCTGGACTTGTATGTCTGTTTCCTTCACCAAGTTAGGGAAATTTTCTGTCATTATTGTTTCAAATAGGTTTTCAATTTCTTGTTTTCTCTATTCTCCTTATGGCTCCCCTATGATGTGAATGTTGGCATGCTTGAAGTTGTCCCACAGGCTCCTTACACTATCCTCATTTTCTTGGCTTCTTTTTTTCTTTTTGCTTCCTTATATTCCAAATCAATGGTTTGCTTCTTGGCTTTACCTACTTTATCATTGATTCCCTGTAAATTATTCTTCATTTCAGTTAGTGCATCCTTCATTTCTGACTTGTTCTTTTTTACGTTGTTGATGTTCTCACTAAGTTCCTTGGAGTTCTCCTTAAGTTCTTTGAAGGTCTCACTAAGTGCCTTGAATGTCTCACTATGTTCCTTGAGTATCCTTATAACCAGTGTTTTGAACTCTGCATCTGATTGATTGCTTATCTCCATTTTGTTTAGTTATTTTCCTGGAGTTTTTTTTCTTTTCTTTCATTTGGGACATATTTTTTTGTCTCCTCATTTTCGCTGCTTCCCTGTGTTTGTTTCTATGTATTAGGTAGAGTTGCTATGTCTCTTAGGCTTCATAGGGTGGCCTGTTGTAGTAGGTGTCCTTTAGGATCCAGAGGCATAGCCTCTCTGATCACCCCAGCTGGGCCCTTGAGGTGCACCCATAGTGTGTACTGTACACCCTTCTGTTGTAAGTGAGTCTTGCATGTCAATGGGAGAGATCTACTCAGGCTGATTAGCTGCAAGGACTGACTCTGTCCACTGACCACTGGCTTCTGACTACCTTGGAGGATCAGCTGTGTAGAGCCCACCATATTGAGCAAGATTTACTTCATCTGGGCTCCTGTACCCACTGAGTCCACTCATTGAGTGTGTCACTTGTAGAGGTGGTTGGGTGGTGGTGCCTTAATGTGGTCTGAAGCTGTCCACTGGGTGTGCTGGCTCTGGGGCAAGGTCAGCCACTGCCTGTGTTCTACCCAGGGCCACCTGGCCTAAGCTACAAAGTGATCTGCAGATGGCTGCTTCTTGTGCTGGGCTTGGAGGTGCCTAGGAAAAGCCAAGTTGTGAACCAAGGCTGGCTGCTTCTAGTGCCAGGCCTGGGTCCACTTAACAAGAGGTATGGGACTCACTGAGACCAGATGCTGCTTCTTTGAGAGATTTTAGGAAAATCTGAAGCAGGGTCCAAGACAGGCCAATCCTATGGTAAAGCCTTTGGAAACAGTTTGGGTGGGCCCAAAAGTTGGGTGGGGTGGGGCCTCAGGGAATCACCAGGGCGGGGCAAACACTGTGATCCAGGTTGCTGGAGTCCCAGATATGGCGGCCCTCTGCAGTCCCAGGAAGGGGTCACCAAAGGAACAGAGATCTCGGCCAGCAGACTCTCTGAGAGAAAGCTGCTTCCCTAGCCTTCGTCTTGAGGCCAAACAGCTCAGTTCTTCCCTGTATTTCTCTGGTGCCTTTCAAGTTGCCTCCCCTCCAAGCTTAGAGGGACCAAGAGGAGCTGCCTGGGGCACCAGCAGCCTCAGCCTCCCTCAGCCTCAGTTCCTGCTGGTTTTTACAGCCAGAAGTTATGGGGATTCCTTTTCCTGGCACTGGAACCCTGACCTACGTGCTTAGTGTGGGACCCCTCAGCCAAGGTATCCTCCAGATTTTTATCCAACACACGTGGGTGTGGGACCAGCCTGTCCGCACCTCTGCTCCTCCTACCAGTCTTGATGTGGCTTCTTCTTTAATTTTGTAGTTGTAGGACTTCCATTCAGCTCGATTTCTGGTGGTTCTGAATGGTGGTTGTTCTGTAGTTTAGTTGTAATTTTGATGTGGTTGTGGGAGGAGGTAATACCGCGCTTACTTACGCTACTATCTTGACAGGAAGTTGAAATTTCTTTTCATCACAGATATATTCACTTATAAATTATAATAAAAAACTTGGAGAGAAATAGTTGCCCTAGCTTAGCTGTTTTAGTTCACAATAAACATTCTATAAAATGTTTCTAATTCCAAAAAATGAAAGAATACTTTTTATTAACAATAAAGTTGTATGATCAAACTGAAGTATTGATTCTTAAAATTTTATTGTGGCACCAGACAAAAGACAATCTTACTTAACTTCAGGAAAATAATTTATTCTGAAGTATTCAGAACTGAATTTTTTTTTTTTTGGAAAGCTATTGTATTTATTAATACATATGTTTACTTATAGTCCTAGATGAGAATTTTGATACTGTTTCTTGGTAAAGATCCCTAATAAGTAAAAGTATCTTCAGGTGCTTTCCACCATTTGATAGATTTGTGGCTTTTCCCCTCTTCCTAGGCAGCTGTGTCAAGTCTCCAAGAAATGGCACCAGGAACAACATTCAAACCGGTTATTGGTGATTCATCTGTGGATCCAAAAAAGTAATTTGATGTATATTTCTGTTCATACTCAGCAGTAGCATGTTAATTGGTGGGAAAACTAGCATATGTTAAGGAAACCAAAGTGACCCAAATGTCCTCCCTTCTTATCTAAGTCCTTTAAGTGAGTTGGGTAGGAGTTAGGATGTGCATGGAAGAGTGAACTTTGGAGGCATATGTTGCTAAAGAAGGCTTGCCAGGTGTTACATATTACTGAACCCAACTACAGAGCCCCACCACTTTATTAGTAAAGCATTTAGATTTACGTGGCCTCCCTTTTCCTCTGATACAATTCTTACTTTAAGATATTTCTCCCCACCCTCCTGTCCCTTTTCTATCTAACAGTGTTAAGAGTCTAGTGTTCTGCTGTGGCAAACACTTCTATGCTCTGCTGAAGCAAAGAGAATCTTTGGAGGCCAAGAAGCGTGAGTTTGCTATTATCCGAATAGAGGAACTCTGCCCTTTCCCACTGGACTCATTACAACAGGAAATGAGCAAATACAAACATGTTAAAGGTAAAGGGCTCTTTGATTTTCAGATTTCTGAAACCTGTTGGAACTATTGCATATGAAAAGAGGTTATGGGCAGAGTTATTAGAAAATTGGATCTTGTGTAATCTGGAAATATGAAAAGAATTCTTCCAGAGCCAGTGTCTTCATGGTTTTTTTTTTGGTGTTTCTCTTAGTCTCCCCTTCTCTCATCTAAGACATCTAATTTCTTGAGAGTTTGGAGGGAATCACTATCATTTATGATAAATCAACTATAATTGGAAAAGACAAGCCTTTCAACAAATGGAGCTGGAATAATTGGATGTCTTTATGCACCTTACAGAAATTAAATAAAAATTGATTATAGACCTACATATGAAACTACAAAACTTCCAGAAGAAAATCTTTGTGACCTTGGGTTAGGAAAAAAGTTCTTAGATATAACACCAAAAGCATGTTCCATAAAAGAATAAATTGGACTTCATCAAAATGAAAAACCTTTGCACGGTGAAGGGCAATGCAAAGAAAATAAAAAGACAAATCACAAACTGGGAGAGAATATTTGCAGACAGATATCTGACAAAGGACTATCGAGAGTACTTAAAGAGCTCTTAAAACTCAACAGTAAGAAAATATATAATCAAATTTTAAAAGAACTAAACAGGCACTTTACCAAAGAACCAGATGCAAACTATATGAAAAGATGCTTAGGATAATTAGTGATAATGGAAATGCAAATTAAGTCAAAATGAGATATGACTGCATACCCATTCAAATGGCTAAAATGAGAACGAAACAACAAATCAATAATATCAAGTGATGATGAGGATGTGGAGCACCTATAATCCTCATTCACTGCTGGTGGAAATGCAAACTGGTACCACCAACCTGGAACACAGTTTGTCAGTTTCTTATGCAGTTACACATAGAGTTACCATACCACCCCACTGTCCCACTCCTAGGTGTTTACCCAAGAGAATGGAAAACATGTCCCCAGAAAGATCTGCATGTGAATGTTTATAACAGCTTTATTCATAATTGCCTCAAACTAGAAACAACCAAAATATCCTTCCACCCCTGAGTGAATAAACAGTCTGTGGTACATCCATATTCAAGGTCATACTACTCAACAATAAAAGAGTGAACTATTGTTGTGGGCAAAATAAAAAATGGATTTTGCTAATTTAAGGAAACCAGATCCAAAAGCCTACATACTATATGATTCTATTTATCTGATATTCTGGAACAGGCAAAACTATTGGAGTAGAGAAAAGATCAGTGGTTGCTAGAAGTTGGGGGTAGGAGAAGGAGTTGAGTACAAAGGGACAAGATAAGGGAATTTGGGGGGGTTGATAGAATTGTCCTGTATCATGTTTGTGCTGAAGGATACATTACTATGCATTTGTCACACACACACACACACATACAGAAGACAAGAAGAACTATGCCATTTTGGGAAAATGTGTGTGTGTATACATATATATGTATATAGTATGTGGGTGTGTGTCTGTGTATGTTTATGTTTTATATGTTTACTTGAGGTACTGAGATGGATTTTCTTCTCTTATAGATTTTATTTGGAGTCAGGAGGAACCTCAGAACATGGGTCCGTGGGGTTTTGTTTCGCCAAGGTTCGAAAAGCAACTGGCCTGCAAGGTACTATCTCTGCCTTTCTTACGGTGTTTTTGTATCTTGTTTTTCCTAGAGTGTCAGCAAATGGTTTTATTCCCTATTATCAATGCAATTCTTTTAAAGACAAACTAAAATAATAAAGTCTAGTTTAGGCTATTCTTTCTAAATAAAATGCTGAGTACTTAGCAAGCTATGTGTACCAACTAGTATTGTATAAAAATAAAAAGTCCTTACCTGTGGAGTACTGTCTCACTAGCCTACTCAGCATTCTTGTCCTAAAGGTCAACATCCAAGCCATGGGGGAGCTGAGTGACAAGCAGGCTTATTTTACAATACGAGAGTAAAGACACCCAATGATGCTTGTTCCAGGCCCATCTACACAGCTGGGATCCCTCAAAGGCCAAATTCTTCTTGATTATGCTGTAGGAAGGGAAAAACAACGAGAAAAGCAATTGTGCTTCTGTTTTATCTTCCTAATCTGCTTTGGTTAGAACTCTGCTCCCTCATTTGATACTAATTGGCTATGCCCAAATAATTTTCACATATAAATAGCTCTATTTAGGCACTCGATGGCTAAAACCAACTAACAGTTATTGAAAAATAGAATAAATTCGAGAATTTATATTACCTTATTATGCCTGGGATTTAGTTGGTTTTTAGTTGAGACAATCTATTCCATGGAAGTCATTATTTTTCCAAAAAGGTGATTTGTGTTAAACAAGCTAAGAGAAATACAGGCACCTCCTTGGGTGAACTAAGCAGAGCTCTGATTGGGTCACAATGTCACTTTCTTTCTTTTCTGCTCCAATGACAGCTCCGCCTTGTGAGCCGACCCCCTTTGCCAGTACCTGCTGTAGGAATTGGTACCATTCACCTGAAGCAGCATGAAGATATCCTCTCCAAGACTTTTGCTTAATGGTGTATTTTAAAGAAATACAACTTCCTGTTAAGAAAACCGCCATAAAAGAAAAAGGCCTGCTTCCTCTACTCTCTTCTTTTTCTATTAGGTAACATGAAATGCCTCTAAGATGGTGGGTCTCATGAGGGCAGTTTAATCTGGAATATGTGGAATAGCCAAGGGAATCAAGACATAAATCTGACAAGTACTCTATATTCTTAAAAATACAATCATGTTAAATTTGTTTAGATCTTAGTGACTTATAGAGCTAGGTCATAATCCAGATTTTTCAGACTCTACTGTTTCTCATTAACTGTATATGCTTAGGAAAGTTCTTTAGCCTGACTTTATAGCTACATATAGATTAACTCAAAATTACCTCTCAATTTATTTAATGCATGTCATTTATATTCATTTTCCCCTTCTTTATTCAAAGTCCAATATTTTCGTTTATGTCATTTTTGGTGTTGTCTTCTAGCCACTGTGAAAAACATTTCACCGAACACTGTAGCAATTGATATTATTCCTGATTTATGTTTTTCAAGATTGTTGTTTTACCCATTGTCTTTAAATATATTAAATGCAAATCTCTGGGTGTGATCTTTTCTCATTGTGTTATTAAGTTAAGGAGTTTTAGTTGCAATGAAATTGATGTGTGGTCTGCCTTGCCATAGTATCTTTCCTAAATTGCTTTTTCAGTGATATTTTCATATTTTTAGTTGACTTTGGGTGTCTGATAAGGGGATTTCAGCCTCTGGTTAGTCAGTCTTGCCTCTAAAAGTCACTGCTGCGGTGTGGTGTTTATTTGTGGCAGTTAAGGTGTACTTTAACTTTGACAGCAGGAACTTCCCAATGCCAGGAACTTGGGGATTTCTAGGGATCACCAACCTACTCCCTTATTCAGAAGTTAAATTGTACTGGAAACCTAACTTAACAGCAGCAAACTGTGCAGCTTTGCATGGCTTGGTGCTACAGAGGCCATACCATTGACCATTCTTGTGCTGTGATGTTGTTTTTCTTAGAAATGATGGGTAAAGTACTAGGACACTGGAATGCCCTCTTCACTTTTACTGGCAACTGGTAACATTTTCAGAATTAATGTATAAGTTGTTCTGGTCAGAGCAGTATATTCATGGTTCACATCTTAAATGTGTACATTAATGCACTGAATTAACATTTCTGGAGTATTCAGATCCCTTTTATCCCTATACACCTTATGCTTCCTTTCTGTCAAGTCTTATAAGTTATGTAACTTGATGCCACTCATGTTAATCACTAAAATTACAAAGGTTTGTTTGTTTATTTATTTATTTATTTATTTATTTTTTATCCTCACCTGAGGACATTTTTGCATTTATCTTCAGATAGAGCAGGAGGGGGAGAGGGAGAAAGAGAGAGAGAGAGAAACATCGATGTGAGAGAGACACATCAAGTGGTTGCCACCCACACGACCCCAACCAGGGCCGGGGACAAACTGCAACCGAGGTATGTGCCCTTAGCAGTAACCCAAATTGGGACTCTCTGATCTGAGGGTCGTGCTCTAACTGCTGAGCAAACCACCCAGGGCACAAATGTCTATTTAATGAGAACGGTTATCAATGTTGTATATCAAAGTAGTAAAAAAAAAAAAAAAAAAAATACAGTGTCATTTTCAGATCTCTTGGTTTATTGAGTTAAGAAGATTTAAAAGTATAAACCCAAAATGAGAGAGAAAACTAGATTTTTTTTTTTTTAGTTTAGTGTAGATCTCTCCAAATTTTTATCTTTATACCTGACAAGTCTGTTTATGGTTTCTTGTTTCATGTTCTCCAGCTTGAGCCATACCTTGTCCGTCTTTCAATCACTATAGCAACACAGGTCAGCATTTTGAATTCCCTTGCAGGAAGAGACCATTTGAAAAATTCCAAATCAATGTCCGGCTGGTGTGGCTCAGTGGTTGAGCATCAACCCATGCACCAAGAGCTGGCTGGTTCAATTCCCGGTCAGGACACATGCCCAGGTTGTGGGCCTGGTCCCCAGTAGGGGACATGCAAGAGGTGGCCAATCGATGTTCTCTTTCATTGATGTTTCTATCTTTCCCTCTCACTTCCTCTCTCTCTCAAATTAATAAAGGGAAAAAATTTTAAAAAAGAAAAAGAAAAATTCCAAATAAAAAACACCCGTGATAAAATATGGAATTAAAAATATAAAGTACAGTCAAATAAAAATATTTTACTTTATTGCTTTAAAAAATTTGATAATTTGTATCCCATTTATACCTATCTGTACTAAATTTCATATTCAATAAAGACTGGAGCTGAAATTAGGTATTCAGTGAATGGAAATGTTAACCACCATGAAAACTTTTAAATTTTGCTTAAAATGACACATTATACCTGGCCAGTGTGGCTCAGTGATTGAGCATTGACCCATGCACCAAGCGGTCACCGGTTTGATTCCCAATCAGGGCACATGTCCAAGTTGTGGGCCCAATGCCCAGTGGGGGTCATGCAGGAGGCAGCCAATCAATGTTCTCTCTCATCAATGTTTCTATCTCTCCCTTTCCTTCCTGTCTAAAAAAAAAATTAAAGAAAAAAACCATTTTTTTTTTTTGGTACGTGCCCCTAGTGGGAACGGAACCCGGGACTCCCTAGTCCGCAGGCCAATGCTCTAACTGCTGGGCCAAACCTGCCAGGGCAAGAAAAAAAAATTTTAATGACACACTATTTTTTGTAAAATAAAATTTTATTCTTTACAAGAACTATTTGGCTCAATTTTCCATACATGTATTATAAGGAAGCATACTATATTGTAAAGCATAGCCTTTTTTAGGCCTATTGTATTACTTTTAAAGTTTTATTATTTTTAAAATTTCTTGACTGACAATAGAAACAGTATCCCTTTCACAAAATTGAGGAAATGTGATTTATAGAAATTAGGGATAACATAGGAAGTCACAGATTTAAGAATGAAGACATTTAGGTCTTGAGGTTCGACAAGCTTTACCTACATTTCGCTTGGATGTACCAGGATATTTGGTTTTCATCTTCAGCTTCTCATAGGGTTCATGCTAAAACTATTATATTTTTGAGAAATTTGCAGAAAAATGTTTAAATGCTCAATATTTATCACACACAAGCAACTCCTAAATTACTCTATGGAAGTAGTAATTCATTGTCATGTTTGTATTGAAATCTGAAGAAACACAATCTAAAGCAGACTGTTCTTCATCCACTGCCAATTGCAAATCAGTTAAATTGTTTAAACTTTTATTTTTTGTTTTATTTATTTATGTATTTACTTTTTATTAATTTATTTTGTTACAGATCTTTCTCCTTTTCCCCCCGTAGACACCCTCCTCCCAACCCCCTCCCCACCCTAGTGCTGCTATAAAAATGGGAGTACATATATTCTTTCTGATTGGTGTTTCAGGCTTCTTAGGGTATATTCCTAGAAGTGGGATCACTGGGTCAAATGGAAGTTCAATTTTTAATTTTTTGAGGTAACACCATATTGTTTTCCATAGTGGCTGCACCAGTCTGCATTCCCACCAGCAGTGTACTAGAGTCCTCTTTTCTCCACACCCTCGCCAACACTTGTTGTTTGATGATTTGTTGATGGCAGCCATTCTGGCAGGTATGAGGTGATACTTCCTAGTCATTTTAATTTGCATCTCTCTGATGATTAGTGATGCTGAGCATTTTCCCATATGTCTCTTGGCCATTTGTATGTCCTGTTTGGAGAGGTGTCTCTTTAGGTCCTCTGCCTGTTTTTTAATTAGGTTCTTTGTCTTCCTTTTGTTGAGTTGTATGTGTACTCTATATATTTTGGAAATTAACCCTTTATCTGATGTATCTTTGGCAATTGTGCTCTCCCATATAGTGGGTTCCCTTTCCACATTGATGCTTGTTTCTTTTGCTGTGCAGAAGCTTTTTAGTCCCATGTGTTCATTTTTTTCTTTGTTTCCCTTGCCTTAGGCATTGCAACCATGAAAATTCTGCTTTGTGTGATGTCTGAAATTTTGTTGCCTATATTTTCTTCTAGAATTTTTATAAATTCACAAGTCACATGTAGGCCATTTATCCATTTTGAGCTTATTCTTGTGTATGGTGTAAGTTGGTGATCTAGCTTCATTTTTTTTTTTTTTTTTTTTTTTTGCATGTAGCTGTCCAATTTTACCAACACCATTTATTGAAGAGGCTGTTTTGATTCCACTGTATGCTCTTGCCACCTTTGTCAAGTATTAATTGAGCATATTGTCTTGGGTCCATTTGTGGGTTCTCTGTTCTGTTCCATTGATCTGTATGACTGTTCTTGTGCCAGTACCAGGCTGTTTTAATTACAGTGGCTTTGTAGTATATAACCTAATATCCGGTATTGTGATCCCTCCTACTTTGTTCTTCATTTTCAAGATTGCTGTGGCTATTCAAGGTATTTTTGGTTCCATATAAACTTTTGGAGTATTTGTTCTAGTTCTTTGAAATATGTCATTGGTATTTTGAAGGGGGATTGCATTGAATCTATAGATTGCTTTGGGTAGTATGGACATTTTAATGATGTTAATTCTTCCAATCCATGAAATGGTATATGCTTCCACTTTTTTATATCTTCCTCTATTTCTTTTTTCAATGACCTGTTGTTTTCTGCGAATAGGTCCTTTATTTCTTTGGTTAAGTTTATTCCTAGGCATCTTAATTTTTTTGCCACAATGGTAAATGGGATTTTTTTTAGTTTCTCTTTTCTGCGAGTTCATTATTGGTGTATAAGAATGTTGTCAATTTCTTGGTGTTAATTTTGTTTCTTCCCACCATGCCAAATTCATTTATTAAATCTAGTAGATTTTTGATGGAGTCTTTAGGGTTTTTTATGTACAATATCATGTCATCTGCAAATAATGACAGTTTCACGCCCTCCTTTCCACTTTGGATCTCTTTTCTTCATGTCTGATTGCTGTGGCTAAGACTTCCAGTACTATATTAAATGAGAGTGGCGAAAGTGGGCATATCTGTCTTGTTCCTGTTTTTAAGGGAAATACTTTTAGTTTTTGCCCATTGAGTATGATGTTGGCTGTAGGTTTTTCATATATGGCCTTTATTATGTTGAGATATGATCCCTCTATTCCCACATTGCTGAGCATTTTTATCAGAAATGGGTGCTGGATTTTGTTGAATGCTTTTTCAGCC